TGTTTTGATTTTGAAGTAGTTTGAAGATATCTCAAGGATTCCTTTCCTTGTTTTTGAAGTAATTTAAAAGAACCTCAGGGATCCGTTTTGTTGTGTTTTTGAAGTAGGTTGAAAGAATCTCGGGGACTCCTTTTGTTTTGTTTTTGAAATAGTTTGAAAGTATCTCGGGGATCCCTTGTCTTGTTTTTGAAGTAATTTGAAAGAATCTGGGGGACCTCTTGGGTTTTGTTTTTGAATTAGTTTAAAGGAATGTCAAAGACCCCTTGTGATTTGTTTTTGAAATAGTTTGAAAGAATGTCGGACATCCTTTTGTTTTGTTTGTTGAAGTAGTATGGATGAATACCAGGGATTCCTTGGCTTGTTTTTGAAGTAATTTGAAAAAATCTCAAGGACTTCTTTTGTTTTGTTTTTAAAGGAGTTTGAAAGTATCTCGGGCATCTCTTGTCTTGTGTTAGAAGTAATATGAAAAAATCTCGGGGACTTCATTGGATTTTGTTTTTGAAGTGGTTTGAATGAATCTCGGGGATTAATGGTCTTGTTTTTGAAGTACTTAATTTAAAATTTGACAAAAATCAGGGAGTTCCTTCACTCTGCATAACTCATTACTAGAGCTGTGCGGTTGAAATTTATTTTTCTACTCATTAAGGTTGAAGTTTGTCATTTTCCCATCGCTGGCAGTGGATGAAATTTCATTTCACCCTCTAGTGGAAAAATACTCGGCCGTCTACGATTTTAACGGGTCGTCCAGCCTGAGCGTTTCGCAGCTAGCGAAACGTGTCGCGTATCGCCTGCACCGACCGCACCGTCCGCTTCGCGCGCTTCGAAAATCATGACGCCTAGGCTGGACGACCCGTTAGTGTTTGACGTTTAATACTGCTAGTTTACACAAGTGAAAACAATGAACATGAGTGAGACTGACGAAGTTTCTGAAGAAATTTTGAATGCTGCCAATGCGGCATTTTCGAATCTGATACAAGTGCAGTTATTGATACAGGAAGCAGCCAACTAAGTTTAAACAAAGATACAAGTTCAAATAATACTTACGATAAAAGTGTAAATATTATTGGTGATAATTGCACAAATTGTTCTATTACAGTTAATGTATTTCAAAAATAAAATACCTACCATAAACAAACATTTATTTCCTAATTTCTTAGAAAAAATAGTATATGCAACTCGCGGATGAAGAAATTTCAACGGCTCGAGTTTCTTTTTCGCACTCGCTCGTTGCACTCGCTCGTGTGAAAAAATCACTCTCGCCGTTGAAATTCAACTTCATCCACTAGTTCCATAATGTACTATTACCCCCACTATCGGCCCACAGTGCCGATCGCTACACAGCCTTGCCTTGCTCGCTTCTCGCTTTTCAGTTGTGGATTATTTTTGATAATTCACACAAATAGTTTTATTGTCAGCGAGACGGACACCTGCACATTATTAAAATTATGATTACTCTTATTTCGTGAATATGGATTTTAAAATCATCAACTGACATGCCGTTAACATTATTTTTCGCGTAATTTTCTTCGCGATACATAACGTCGGTTGCAAGCCTCTGGCCTGCCGGAGTGGGGGTCAATTCGCAGCGTTTAAATTTCAACCGCACAGCTCTACTCATTACATTCAAAAAGTTGGGTGGCTTGACGAGTAGAGAAGAGGGAAGATACCCGGATATGTTCCTGGCTACGCTCGGCCCCCATATAATTAAAATCCAGATTCCAAAATTGATATTAAAGAATCTCAGGGACACTTTTTGTTTTGTTTTTGAAGTAGTTTGAAAGTATCTCCGGGAATCCCTCGTCTTGTTATTGAAGTTATTTGAAAGAATCTCGGGAACACCTTCTGTTTAGGTTTTGAAGTAGTTTGAAAGAATCTCGTGTTTTATTTTTTGAAATAGTAGTCTGAAAGTATTCCGGGGATCTCTTGTCTTATATTTGAAGTATTTGAAAGAATCTCGGGGACCCCTCTTTTTATTTTTGAAGTAGTTTGAAAGAATCTCGGGGATCCCTTATCTTGTTTTCGAGATAGTTTGAAAGAATCTCGGGGATCCTTTGCATTTTGTTTGTCAACTAGTTTGAAAGAATTTCGAGGACCCCTTGTGTGTGGTTTTTCAAGTAGTTTCAAAGAATCTCGGGGACCTCTTGTGTCTGGTTTTGAACTGGTATGAATGAATCTCGGAAACCCCTCAGGTTTTCTTTTGAAGTAGTTTGAAAGAATCTCGTGCCTTCGATGTGTCTTGTTTTTGAAGTAATTTAAAAGGATTTCGAAGTCCCTTGACCAGGGGAAAATGGGACCTCCTGAACTACCGCGGGAAAAATTTATATCGGGGCCTGAAAAGGCGAAATTTTACTTCGTTTAAAAGTATATAAAATTCGGATTCGGCCACTGTCGCCTCTGGAAAATTCCTGATTTTCAGATGGTTTCATTGGATTGAAATAATCTCGGGGATCCCTTGTGTTTTCTTTTTGAAGTAGCTTGAAAAAATTTAGGAAACCCCTTGGCTTGTTTTTGAAGTAATTTGAAACAATCTTAGAGACCCCTTGCATTTTGTTGTTGAAGCAGTTTGACAGAATCTCGAGGACCCTTTATGTTTTGTTTTTAAGTAGTTTGAAAGTATCCCGGTGACATCTTGTGTTGTTTTTGAAGTAATTTGAAAGAATCTCGGGGACCGGATTTTTTTATTTTTGAATTAGTTTGAAAGAAGCTCAGAAATCCGTTATCTTGTTTTCGAAGCAGTTTGAAAGAATCTCGGGGATCCCTTGTATTTTGTTTTTCAACTAGTTTGAAAGAATTTCGGAGATTCATTTCTTGTTTTTGAAGTACTTAATTTGAAAGAATTTAGAGGATCCCTTGTGCCTGGTTTTTGAGGTTGTTTGAAAGAATCTCGGGGACCTCTTGTGTCTGGTTTTGAACTGGAATGAATGAATCTCGGAAACTCCTCAGGTTTTGTTTTTGAAGTAGTTTGAAAGAATCTCGAGGACCCTTTTTGTTTTGTTTTTAAGTAGTTTGGAAGTATCCCGGTGATATCTTGTGTTGTTTTTGAAGTACATAATTTGAAAGAATCTCGGGGACCGGATTTTTTTATTTTTGAATTAGTTTGAAAGAAGCTCAGAAATTCGTTATCTTGTTTTCGAAGTAGTTTGAAAGAATCTCGGGGATCCCTTGTATTTTGTTTTTCAACTAGTCTGAAAGAATTTCGGAGATTCATTTCTTGTTTTTGAAGTAATTTGAAAGAATTTAGAGGATCCCTTGTGTCTGGTTTTTGAAGTAGTTTGAAAGAATCTCGGGGTCCTCTTGTGTCTGGTTTTGAACTGGTATGAATGAATCTCGGAAACCCCTCAGGTTTTGTTTTTGAAATAGTTTGAAACAATCTCGGGGCTTCGATGTGTCTTGTTTTTGAAGTAATTTAAAAGGATTTTGCAGTCTTTTGAGCAGGGGCAAATGGGACCTAAGAACTAGCGCGAGAAAAATTTAGATCGGGGCCTGAAACGGCGAAATTTTACTTCGTTTAAAAGTATATAAAATTCGGATTCGGCCACTGTCGCCTCTGGAAAATTCTTGATTTCCAGGTGGTTCCATTGGTTTGAAATAATCTCGGGGATCCCTTGTGTTTTCTTTTTGAAGTAGCTTGAAAGAATTTAGGAAACCCCTTAGATTGTTTTTGAAGTAATTTGAAAGAATCTCAAAGACCCCTTGAATTTTGTTTTTGAAACAGTTTGAAAGAATCTCGAGGACCCTTTTTGTTATATTTTTGAAGTAGTATGAAAGAATCTCACAGATCCGTTAATTTGTTTCCAAATTTGAACAGCATTATCATTGATGTCAGCTAATTCAGCAATAATATTGAAACGCAATTTTGTCGTCATTAAAGGTAGAGAAAGAGGTTCTACAACCTAAGATAAATGTGACACAGTTGTTAATGATCCTTAAACAATGGGAATCAATGCCACTAATATCAATATGATCAATTACATTTACGGTATATTCCGATCACCTCTTAGAATTTTGAACCCATCCAAAGAAATCAGAATATCTAGTATTCCAAATTTAACTTGATTTCTGTTAACAAGAGAAAGGAAAAATTGTTATTATAGACAAAAGAAGTAAGATCATCATATTTAGCCACTAGGGAAATAAAATTGAAATAAACTACAGAACTATCCATATATTTCGGGAGACATTTATTAGAAAGATTAGACATAGCGAAAATAAATACGGAAGAGAAGAAAAATAATAGTCTAAAAATGATCCATAGATCTTTGGGACACTTTAAAAATGTCAATGTCTGTTAGTATTTTTTGCTTTACGAAGATGTCACGGGCTTATGTTGAACTTTTCTACACCTGCTTTTGATACTTGTATGTTCCATATGGGGGTACATGTCATACAGCAAGCCATACATACACACAGACGTAGGTGTCAAACTCTGAATAGAGTCTGAATGACGCTTTTTTTTTTTTTCGTAGTGTCTAGTAGGACTACTATTAACAGAGAATGACAAATCAAAGATAGTAAACGGCTGTTCTTCAATCGTTTGCCTTTTATCTACAATCTCTTCCGGATTAATCAGTTCATGAACGTGTTTAGAAGTACCTATTCACAGTGTGTTCGGTAACATTGGTTTGGAGAACGTCCATTTCGTCGTTTAGTTCAATGTAAATTTGGCTTCGAAAACTCAAGACATGTTATTAGTTGTTATTGTCAATACAGTTTCCAAAAACTTGGAATTAAAAAAAAACGATCACAAAACGGTTGTTTACTAGCAATCTTAAACAACATTTTTACTTGTAAAGCAGGTTGATGATTGCTTCCCATTACCCGACATCCTAGTGTAAACTTACCTTTATTACATTTAAATCTGGCTCTGGCATAAGGAACCAACTCAGTGTAAATCACAATTCCTTTATCACTAATTTGATCTTTATTACTTTTTCTCGATAGGCAACCAGTCATACTTCCAAGCATGCGCAACTCCCACCTGTCACTTTCTCCAGCTGTTGTTGACGCTGTCAAATCCAGTTCAGTTCGCTTTCTGAACTCGTGTTGTAGTGTGGTGTGTAGGTTTTTAGTATTTTTTGTACCGTTTGACCTAATAAAATAGAAACTATGGCAAATCTTCGTCAAACACCATTAACATGTAGCGGCCACACAAGACCCGTAGTCCATTTAGACTTCAGTGCGGTGACAAAATACGGCTATTTCCTAATTTCGGCATGCAAAGGTAGGTAAAACTCTGTCCGATCTAGCGGCGAAGTAAACTTTACCTTCAATCAACAAGACATTTACCTTGGCCTGGTTTTTTTCTCTCTTTCTGGACATAATTGAAACCCTCGACCAGACGCAACCTTAAACATTCAAGGCCAAAATCCAGCCCACTCTTCCTGTTTTCGCTACCCTCAACCGCCATCGTGGGGAATTTTCTAAAAAACTACACGTTCGGAGGCGGCAAAATTGAACGGAGAATAAACTCATGTGCGGTGATAAAGTCGGTGTTTATTTTAGCGCTTGCTTGTTGATAGCGGTTGAGGTTATACAGTGCCGGACTGAGGGACTTTATGGCCCCAAGAACTCAGAACTATTTAACTTTGTTTACGGAAATTTTTCTTTTTATTCTATTTATTATTGTAAACAAGTTTGCACTTGTTTCCTAACTGTGTAATTTCCCATTATTACGCACACCCGTGCGTAACAATGCACTTAATTTCCATCAAGTTAGTTTGGCCCGCATGCCCATAATCACGCCGGTTTTACAACACTAAAATTTAATTTCTGCCGATTCCTAATTAATGTATTCATCGTCTCATTATTTTTGCTACTGGTGTTTGTGGTTAACTTGATTTCTCTTCTTTTTTGTAGCTTCTTGTTAAAATTCTAACGATATTATTTGACCGCGAAGAAGGAATGCTTTTTTTAGGCTGTTGTTGGAATTTAAAAACAGTGGGCGGAGTTACCTTAAATTAATCGCAAGATTCCGAACTTTTGAAATCGCCCCTTGTAAAACAGGCTTTGCGGTGGCCAATGAGAAAACAGCATTACTAAATCACGACAAATTAAAAGCTTCATTTTGTACTAATTAGACTGTATTGCTATATCGATTTTTTGTTAAAGCAGCTGAATTTTTTGTGTAATCGTTACAATGTGACTGCAGTTAATAGAAATCCGCTGTACGAATTAATTACTAGTTAATTTATCGCTTTATTATTTCTGCCACACCTGAGAAGTTCTTTTCATACTGTGTCAGTCATATCAGTCAGCGAAATACTTTATTAAATGGACCATTTATTGTATTATATAAGTGATAACTACACCTATATGAGAAAGTTGTTCTAGGATACTTGTTAAACAAATTTTGTGCTCCATGACTTTGCTAATTACGGATTAGTCTTGAAACACGAATGACGTCATTACCAATGAAATTATAAAAGTTGCTAGTGCGTGATAAAGCAGACTTTTGGGTATTCAAATTATATGTTAGCGTTAAAATGACTACTTTTTTATCGTACAGATTTAAAAATTGAGGATTCATGTTATAAACAGTACCAGCAAATGTATGATCCGTTTAAATTTTTCTAATAAAATTTTTTTCCTAACAAGCAGAACAATATAGGAGCTCGTATTTTCTCAAAAATTCCCAAAATATTCTGTTTAATTGATATCTTCTAATTGTAATTACAGCTAAAACAAAAAGAAATGGAAATTGTTTACATATGAAAAAAAATCTCGCCTCTTTGAAAAAATATTTAAAAAAATGCAATTTTTGTTCTCTCCTAAACCCTATAAAGCAAAAACCACTAAATAACACTTCCGCAGCTTTTTTGACTTGAATTTTTGCACTTTTTCGATTGGGTTTTTTCTTTTTTCAGTTATTCGATTTTTAAATGCTTCGATTTTATAATTTTCTGTTTTTTCAATTTTTCGTTTCTGTGATTTTTCATTTTTTTTTTTGTTTGTATCTTCAATTTTTAGATTTTGCAATTTTTCCATTTAAAATTCCTCCAGTTTTCAGTATTTAATTTTTCGATTATGTATTTAATTCTTCATTTCTTCAAATTTTCGATTTGAAGTTTTGGTTTTTATTTCTTGTTTTTTCAGTTTCAGTTTTTCAATGGCACCTCTTCGAGTTTTCATTTTTTAATTTTTCAGTTCTCCCATTTTACAACTTTTGGATGTTTCAATTTTTCGATTTGCATTTTCACAAGTTTTCAATTTTGAATTTTTCAATTTTTCGATTTTTCAATGCTTCGATTTTATAATTTTTTGCATTTTTCAATTTAAAATTTCTCGAATTTTCAATTTTTATTTTTCCAACTTTTCAATTACTCATGTATTTAATTCTGGATTTCTTCAAATTTTCAATGTGAACTTTTGGTTTTGGTTTTTATTTCTTTATTTTCACAATTTTTCAGTTCTTCGATTTTCCAACTTTTGGATGTTTCAATTTTTCATTTCGGTTTTTTATCTAGAGTTTATATTTTCAATTATTCGATTTTTCTATGTTTCGATTTTATAACTTTTTGCTTTTTCAGTTTTTCGTGTCTTCAGTTCAGATTCTTAATTTTTTTTTGTTTCTTCAATTTTTAGATTTTGCATTTTTTGATTTAAAATTTCTTGAGTTTTTATTTTTTCATCTTTTCAGTTATTTAATCCTGCATTTCTTCAAATTTTCAATGTAAACCTTTGGTTTTGGTTTTGATTTCTTTATTTTTACAATTTTTATAATTTTTTTGTTTTTTCAATTTCAATTTTTCGATTTGCAGTTTCACGAATTTTCAATTTTTCATTACGCTTTTTCAATTTTTTCTTTTTTTAATGTGAAAATTGTCAGTTTCTTGTTTTTCGATTTTTCGTTTCTTCAATTTTGATTTGCAGTTCTTCTAGTTTTCCAGTTTAAATTGCTTAGTTTTTCAATTTTCCAACTTGTGAATTTTGCAATTTTTGGATTTGCTTTTTTCGTTTCAGGTTTTTATTTATTTTTTTTTTGTTCTTTTAATTATTCGATTTTTCAGTGCTTCGATTTTATCATTTTGTTTTTTCAATGTTTCGTTTCTTGAGTTTTTCGATTTGCAATTTTTAAATTTTTTTTTTGGTTCTTCAATTTTTGATTTTTCAACTTTTAATTCTTCATTTATTCTTTATTTTGCAATTGATCGATTTTTCAGTGTTCCAATTTTATAACTTTTTGTTTCTTCAGTTTTTCGATTTTTCAATTTTTTTTAGATTTCGCATTTTCGATTTAAAATTCCTCGAGTTTTCAATTTTTAATTTTTCAACTTTTCAATTGTTTTATTCTGCATTTCTTCAAATGTGCGATGTAAATTTTTGTTTTTGGTTTTTATTTCTTTATTTTTACAATTTTTCGATGTTTCAATGTTCCGGTTTTAATTTTTTGTTTCTTCAATTTCAATTTTTCATTTTTGTTTCTTCAATTTTACTCTCTTCCAGTTTTCATTTTTTAATTTTTCAATTCTCCCATTTTACAACTTTTGGATGTTTCAATTTTTCGACTTGCAATTTCACAAGTTTTCAATTTTGAATTTTTCAGTTTTTCGATTTTGTAATTATTTGCATTTTTCAATTTAAAATTTCTCGAGTTTTCAATTTTTATTTTCTCAACTTTTCAATTATGTATTTAATTCTGGATTTCTTGAAATTTTCGATTTGCAATTTTTCGTTTCGGTTTTTTATCTCGAGTTTATCTTTTCAGTTATTCAATTTTTCTATGATTCGATTTTATAACTTTTTGCTTTTTCAGTTGTTTTATTCCGCATTTCTTCAAATGTGCGATGTGAACTTTTGGTTTTGGTTTTTATTTCTTTATTTTTACAATTTATCAATATTTCAATGTTCCGGTTTTAATTTTTTGTTTCTTTAATTTCAATTTTTCACTTGTTTCTTCAATTTAAACTCTTCGAGTTTTTATTTTTAAAATTTTCAATTCTCCGATTTTCCAACTTTTGGATGTTTCCATTTTTAGGCTTTCAATTTTTCATTTTTTCAATTTTTTATTTCGGTTTTTTATTTTAATTATTTTTAAAATTTTTCCTTTTTTCCAAGTGAAAATTTTAATTTTTTTAATTTTTCGTTTTCTCAAATTTAGATTTTTTAGTTTCTCGATTTTTCAATTTTTCGTTTCTTCAATTTCGATTTTCTAGTTATTTTACATATGTTTCCAATAATTTCTAAAATTTTAAAATTTTTTCACTTTTTCGATTTTGAAATTTTTCTATTTTTCAATTACATTATATTTTCAAAACTTTTTCATTTATTCGATTCTTCAACTTTTCGATCTTTCTATTTACACTTTTCAGACTTTGCAATTTTGACGATTCTATAATTTTTCAATTTTACAATTTTTGAGTTCTCCAATTTTTTAATTCGATTAGTATTTTTTTTCCAATTTTTCGATTCAATTAGTTTTTTTTCTTTCCAATTTTTCGATTCATTGATTTTTTCGATTTTGAAGTGTCTCGATTTTTAATGTTTCAATGTTTCGTTTTTTTAGTTCTTCGATTTTGCCTTGCCGTTTTTCGCTTTTTCAGTTTTTTGATTTTTAAACTAATGAAAAAAAATGGAAAAATTGCAAGATTGAAAAATCACCAATGAATAAACGAAATAGTGTAAAATAACAACTTTGAAAAATCTAAAAATTGGAAATCAAGAACTTGAAAATTTGAAGAAACCAAAAATTAATGAATCGAAAGGTTAAAAATGAGAAACTTAAAAATCGAACAAGCTAATATAGATTGTAAAATTGGAATATTGAAAATTAAAGAAATCGGAAAATCTTATAACTGGAAATCCAAAAATTGCAAAATTGGAAAATCGAGGAATTGAAAAACTCAAAGATTGAAAATTTTAAAAATTCAATAAACGAAAAATTTGATACGAAATCGGAAAAACGAAAAATAAAAATTGAGAAACTGAAAAATTATAATATTGAAAAACTGAAAAATTTGGAAGTCGAAAAATTTTAAAAATTACAGTTTCAAAAACGAAAAATTATGAAACAGAAACATTGAAAAATTGAAAATTAAAGAAAATGAAAAAAGAAATAATTGTGACATCAAAAAATTGTAAAATCGCAGAAAAAGAAAAAACGAAAAATTGTGATATTAAAAAATTTCTCGCAAGTAATTGAATCCAGATTTTTCGAAAAATTATAAGATTTGATTTTTGTTATTTTATTTATTTATTTATGATACTAATAATAACAGCACTGTATTGCCAAATTTTAATATTTTGCATATTTCAAAGACGATCATTTCGACAAAATTTTGATGTTACCTCATTAAATTTTTGGGAAGGGATTAACGATTTACCATGCTCACGATAACCTTAAAACGTTTGCAGGATTCCAGAGCATTCGGTTTTGCAGTTTCAAAGTTAAATTTTGTTTTTTTTTCCAAAAATCTAAAGTTGTAGGGTGAAAACTCAACACGAATTCATACACCACAAGTGCAGGAACATCTTATTTTATTAAAATAAAAACAAAATTACCATTGTAAATTTTGAGGATGACGTCATTAAATTGGTGGTGGGGATGATTAGCCAATTTTCGGTTGGCGTTTTAGCATCTACATGACAATCCTAATATACACACCAAATTTGACAACAATCGATTCAGTAGTTTCGAATATTATCGGTCTAATAAAATTCTGCACAGACGGCAGACAGACAGACAGACGAACGAAAACTTATTCACGCTCGGGAAGTAAAAATAATTTATTAGAAAAAAAGAAGTGAAATACTAGTATGGAGAGAAATCAGAGGTGTTTTCCCGCATAATTAATATTCAAAGTCTCATTTATGCCTGCAGAGTGGTAGAATGCTTTCAAAGAACATCACCATTAAACTAGTTAACGCTTTCAAGTTGTTATTTCACCTATTCAGAGTTTACTACACGGCAGAACAATTGATTATTAGTATAATGCTGGTATTACAACAGGTATTTTGTTTTGTTCTTTGAAGAGAGTTTCTATATGTACATTAAAGTGTTAATAATCCCACATTTTAACCTTAAGTTCCTCTACAAATACATATTGACTCCAATTTCGTTGCAATTTCCAGACGGAAAACCCATGCTGCGGCAAGGCGACACCGGCGACTGGATCGGCACTTTCGAGGGCCACAAGGGGGCGGTCTGGGGCGTAGCACTAAACAAGGACGCCACCAAAGCCGCCAGCGGGGCCGCCGACTTCACCGGAAAAGTCTGGGATGCGAATTCCGGCGAGGAGCTCCACTCCTTCCAGCATAAACACATAGTCAAAAGCGTCAACTTTTCCAAAGATAGCAGCCTTCTGGCGACCGGAAGCAACGAGAAACTCGTTAGGATATTCGACTTGAATAAACCTGATGCCAGTAAGTTGACCATCGAAGCAACCTTCGGCGGACGTGTTCGGTCTTGACTCAATTTAACGACCACACCTAAATTTCAGAACCCGAGGAATTCAACGGACACACTTCCGGAATAAGGCACGTGTTGTTTTTCAGAAACGATACTCATTTGGTCTCGTGCGCCGACGATAAGACTGTGAGGGTGTGGGAACGATCCTCCGGAAAGGTAAGGTATCGAAGTGGGACGTAGTACATTCTAGGAGCGAAATAGTGGTCTTAAATAAAATGAAAACTAGAGACTAGTTCGTGTAACAAGAAAACATAAATATAAATGGTTCTTGTATGCTAATTCGTCGGTGAAATAAAATTCTGACTAAATGTGACATTTGCATTTAGGGGAATTTACTTACACCAACAGAACAAAGTTTAATACACTATTTGTCAACTGTTACAAAAAAAAAATGAAGTCATTTCGTCTTAACTTTATAGTCTATGGAACATGATAATACAACAATATACAGGGTGAATCACCTATACTTTTTGGAAAGTAATTGTGATCCTGAATCTGTATTCAGATTACTTCGACAGAACTTCCCTCGCCTATAAAGTAGGTACGGCTTGTCAAGTCCAGCTCTTTTGAAAAATTAAAAGATTTGACTTTGCGAATTTTATTGTTTTTTATGGCAACCATTATAAGCTAAAATAAAAACATGTATCTAATATTTGGCTGAAGGTAAAGAAACGTGCTAACCGTTTGATTACAAAATTTTGTGTTGATCCACATTTTTGCAAGGACGCATATATCAGTTTGGATACATGCACTGTAGTTCTAATAATGAAAACTGAACTGAAAATCATTTATGGTACTTGTAATTTAAGACGAATAGCAATAACACTTATCAACCTGTAGACGTGAGAATGAAACAGAAACTAAACTAAAAGATGTTTTCTACGAATTGCAATAACCAGATCACAATGCCGACGGTCCAGACTTTTTTTTTATTGCTCTGACTTCCGCTTATTGAATAAAACACAAATTTGATTTTGATTTTTGATGTTTTAATTCACATTTGGTTAATTATAACTTGTCTAGATCTAGGGGAGCCTTAGCATCCCCTGGTCTCCCCCTAGCTGCGGCCTTGTCTATGAAATATCGAGAAAATATGAAAGTACCAAATTGCCAGATGGACTCCATTACTGTACGTCGGTAGGTTAACTTCGGTAAGAAAAACAACTTGAAAGTGTTTATGTTTATACATCGGAAGAATTTGAATGAGTTCGTCCCCTCAAAACAAGGGATCAAAAAAATTAATAGTAAGCTACAATCGACAAAATGTTCTGAATATCATTATTATAATTATAATTAAAATTGTATTTTCACATTTTCGGAAAAATGGGGTGACTCGTTTTTAATTTGATCAATACAAAATATGAATGTAATGATAAATCACCAGTAAAAACTCATCGTATTTTTCACATTTTGGGTAGAACTTGGTCGGCAAAATTTTGAGATAACGTCATCAATTTTTTAAGGGGATAACACATTTGTTTTTATTAACAATTTTTACCATGCTTACAATGACTTTAAAACGTCTGCAAGATTTCAAAGCATTCAGTTTTGCAATTGATTTATTCAGTAAAATAAATTGACTGATTTATTAATTTTTTGAGTCACCCTGTATATGCAAATCTAAACAATAATATGCAGTGATAAATTATAAGTATAGATTGGTCATATTTTGCACATTTTAGGGAGGATTTATTCATCAGAATTTTGAGATGACGTAATCAATTTTTTGGAGGGGATAAGTAAATATATTTTGATTAAACATTTATCATGCTTATCATAAGCTTAAAACATCAACAGCAGGATTGCAAAGCATTCGGTTTTGCAGATTAAAAATTAAATTGCAAAATGTTTTATAATCTTCATTTTTTCTTTCCAAATTAAAATAAATTGACTCATTCATTAATTTTTATGAGTCACCCTGTATAAGAAATTTAAAAACTTTTAATGCAATGACAAACCACAAAAATAAAAATGAAACTGTAAGTTAAGACTAATTTTGTCAAATTAAATTTTAATTTTTAATTAAATAGGGGCAGGTGGGGGGGGGGGGCTATTGGTTGCTTATAAAAGTTTCTACAGGAAAAAGTTAAACTTGGCTCCGCCCACCCACCCGGTTTTGGCAAATAACTAAATACAGAGCGAGTGGACGGAGCTAGTACTTGCTAAGATAGGACTGAACAATATTAAGAATAGTCACTAGGTTGGAGACAGGGTGGGTGGGCGGAGCTAGTACTTTCTCAGATAAGACTGAACAATATTAAGAGTAGGCACTAGAATGAAAAGGAGGCTGATGGGCGAGGCTATTCGTTGCTTATAAAAGTCTCTGCAGGAAAAAGTTAAACTTGGCCCCGCCCACCCACCCGGTTTTGGCAAATGATATACCCTCTAATTATTTAGACGGCGAGTGGACGGGGCTAGTACTTGCTAAGATAAGACTGAACAATATTAAGAATAGTCACTAGGTTGGACATACGGTGGGTGGGCGGGGCTAGTGCTTTCTCAGATAAGACTGGACAATATTAAGAGTAGACACTAGAATGACGAGGAGGCGAATAGGCGGGGCTTTTGCTTGTTTATAAATGTCTCTGCAGTAAAAAGTTAAACTCGACCCCGCCCAGCCACCCGCTTTTGCCAAGTGATATACCCTCTAATTAAATACAGGGCGAGTGGACGGGGCTAGTACTTGCCAAGATAAGATTGAACAATATCAAGAGTAGTCACTAGCTTGGAGAGGGGGTGGGTGGGCGCGGCTAGTACTTCCTAAGATAAAACTGAACAATATTAAGAATATTCACTAGCCGCCCGTTCTATTACTTGCTTAAATAAGACTAATTTTGCAGATGACGTACTCTCTAAGAAAATAGAGGGTGGTTAGAGGGGCTAGTACCTACTAAGGAAACATTGATTTTGGCCAATGACATACCATTTAATTAAATAGAGGGAGGGTGGGCGAAGCTACTACTTGCTAAGATAAAATTGAATTCATTTCATCATATTTTGCACATTTTGGATAGGATTTACCCGGCAAAATTTTGAGCATCAGTTTTTTGGGAAGAGGTAAACGAATCAATTTTGCTTAACGATTTACCATGATTACGATAACCGTAAAATATTTGCAAGATTTCAGAGCAATTGGTTTTGTAGTTTCAAAGTTATAGTGCAAAATATTGTTATTCAGTTTTGAATTTTTTGCAAAAATTCTGAATGTCCAGGGTGAAAATTCGACATGGATTCACACATCACAAGTGCAGGAATATTTTATTTTTTAAAATTTAAAAATACTTTTTGTTATAAATTTTGGAGATGGCGTCATCCCATTGGTGGTGGGGATGATTATCCAAATTTAGTTAGCGTTTAACCCTCTACATGATATTCTTAATATACATACAAAATGTGACAACGATCGGTCCAGTAAAAAAGTAAAAAGAGTCATTTTGTCTTGACTTTATGGTCAATGGAACATGATAGCACCACAATATACAGGGTGAATCACTATAGTTTTTGGAAAGAAATTGTAATCCTGAATCTGCGTCTGTATTGAGAAAAAGTGTATCACGTCTGAATCAATTAGTTAATGAGATCGAGGACCATTGTTGAGTGACTCACCCTATATATAATTATTTCAAGATCGGTGAAGCAATTAATAAGTTGTTTCAATGAAAACGTAACAATAAATTTTATATTATTATTATTTAAATAAATGTTGACTACAAGGTCCTTTTAAATATTATAAATAGTACAAATAGGGAACTTGTAGTCAATACAATGAGACCAAAAAGAGACAGTTTCATTGTGCGTTGATCTTGATCCACTTTTTAATCTTATCTGAGCATCAATGACGAATTACACGTGCATAAAATCAAACAATACACAAATATTAACCTTCGCTACCTTTTACTTGTAGGAGATTCAAAAAATCGAATTTCCGTCGATCCCAAACAGCCTAGAGGTATCCAGAGACGGCAGCGTTTTAACCGTAACGCACTCCAACCACGTCACATTCCTCGACTCCGAGTCTCTAACAAAAATTAGAGAATTCTCCGTTCCTACCACAGTAAACTCGGCCTCACTCCACCCGGACAAAACCATCTTCGTAGCAGGAGGAGACGACCTGAAAGTGTACAAGTTTGACTACACCACTGGGAACGAAATCGGTAATAAACGCATTATAATTATTGCCAGGATATATATATTTAAATCCGGTGTTCCAGAATCCTTCAAGGGCCACTTCGGGCCGGTCCACTGCGTGAAATTTTCGCCGGACGGCGAATTATACGCTTCTGGATCAGAAGACGGGACTTTGAGACTGTGGCAAACCACGATCGGTAAAACGTACGGTCTGTGGAAGTGCGTCGATGGACCACAAATGAATAACGACACGCTTTCGTCACCCAAAGAAGTTCCCGCTATTTAAACAGTTTGGCGAAATTTGTTAACTCTTCTTTCATTTTCAAATCCAAGTAATCGTAGTTCTTTCACGATGAGGTGAAGAGAAGACGAGAACTTCGTTTCTGTGACTCAACAAAGTGCTTTATTTATGTTACATTGTTTTTCTTTGAATATTTAATAAAACATGAGGAACAAGTCTGGCTTTGATTACGATCAGTGCTTGGGCTTTGTAAACATTGGTGTAATTGCTACTGGAACAATGTAGTGGTGTCGGAAAACAACCAGTCAACAATCAATAATTAATAATTATTATGTTTGCTGCACAGGTTGAATGTTTTGTAGTAATGTAAAAGTAAGGTTATTTTTTCTTGACTGCAATTTTAATACAACTAATAAATAAGACTAGTTTTTAGTTTCTGTAAATAAATACCAGTAAAAACGAATCTGTAAAGTTTGGCTTCCCTTGATTGTTAATAAAAATTAAATCAATAATGTCTCTAAAAAAGTGGGGTTATCTCGCCTCATGTTATGATAATTGATAAACAACCAGTGGCTCAAAACGAGCACTGTAAACAAAATAAATAAAGAAATCGTTCGTTTCAACGAAAACTTATCATTAATCTGTATGTATGTGTTTTTCGTACACGACGAGATTTGAGGTTATGTCATTCCAGGGGGCCCCCCTTGTTTACAACAATCACTGTATACGTGCATAACGCAACGGCGCAGCAAATAATAGATATAAGATAGCGGAAGAGGAAACTATTTTTTCTATTAAGTTATCAGAAGCCACAAGTAGCTCAATTCACATCCGTTTTCCGGTGCCCCACAATTACCGATAATGAGTACTGTCGCTGGTAAATTCATTTGCAATAATCTTCACTCGTGACGAGTTTGTTTACAGAAAGTGATAAAACAGAAGAAACCTCCAACAGTGTGGACACCGAAACCAAAGAAGAGTGTCCTGAAATGAAGCGCTTAAAACCCAATTATCTGAGCGAGTGTTTTCCTATTACGTCTCTAGATAACATCTCGGAGGTGATTGAAAACCCGCCGCGGTGGGTCCAGAGGGTGATCCCGCTCCAGGAACGCAGCAGCACAGTCGTGCAAAACATTATCTCCGATTGTCACTGCGACCTGAAGAAATTTACACCCAAAACACGACTAGACAAGCGGTTCGTGCCTAAAACTCTGGTGTGTCATGACTATAAAGGGGGCTACTTGGAAGACAAATATCTCTCGAGCACGAATATAGGAAACCTGTACTCGTTTTACAACTGGGCGCATATTGACGTTTTTGTGTATTTTAGTCACCATTTGATCACCATACCGCCGCTGTGTTGGATAAACGCAGCCCATCGCAACGGGGTGAAAATTTTAGGCACTTTGATCACTGAGTTCCAACCTGGTACAAAAATCTGCGAAAAAATCTTTAAGGATGAGGATACGATGAGGATCTTCGCCACCTCTCTCACGAAAATTTTGGAAATATTTAAGTTCGATGGGTGGTTGCTTAACATTGAGAACCCTCTTCCGGACACAGAAATGTTGAAAAAGTTCGTGAGTTATTTGAGTCTGAGCACGCGTAGCGAAAACCCCGACAATCTAATAATTTGGTATGACAGCATTATTGAAACCGGAGAACTTAAATGGCAGAACGAACTAAACCCTCTGAACAAATTCTTCTTTGATAATTGTGACGGGATTTTCTTGAATTACGTCTGGAATGAAGAAAATATCCAAAATACGATTGAGTTTGCGAAACATCGGACCCTGGATGTGTATGTGGGTGTGGATGTGTTCGGTCGCAATACGTTCGGTGGTGGTAAATTCAATACGTTTAAAGCAGCCCAGGTAATCCGTAGGCACCACTTATCCATGGCGATTTTTGCCCCTGGGTGGACCCACGAAACGTTACCCATAAACGAAAATCGACAGAAATTTTTTGAGGATTTTGTTAATAGGGATTGTGCGTTTTGGAATAGCTTGTGGCCGTATTTATACACACATCCGATCACGCATTTTTTTAAAACGAGCTTTTTCATGGGGGTAACACAGGTAATTAGATTAGTAGGTGTATGATTTTAATAAATACGTAATTTTTGCTCTAGGATGTGTATAATATGTTCTCTCAGCATCAACAGTTGTCAAAAATAAAGCATCCGAGGACTCTAGAATGGGTACCCGACTATGATAAAATTCCAACCCTTCATAATAAGTGTAATTGTTTGCAATGTGCCTTTACAGACAAGGGGGTCAGATGTTTGGTTACAAAGGAGTTTTTAAATAGTTCGCTTTGTTACCTTCATAGACTATTCACCTGTGATATTTTGTTGTCAGGGACAATCACTGTGTATACTTTAACAAAATTAGTACGTAATCAACCCGCTTCGTTAAGTTTGAACTTATTAACTTCAGATAAAAATGGTACTATTAAGAAAATTAAATGCAATAGTTCCGTTAAGGAATACTTGATTAATAATTCAACCCTTCTTGAGGTTAATCCATCGATAAACCCATCGTTAATAAACCATGTGGTCAGAAGTAACGAAGAATTGTTTTTACACGAAAATTTAAATATATCGTAAGTATCGCGTGTGGAAAGTTGTTATTTTAAAGTAATGTATTATTTTCAGTGTTTACCAGTTCATTGTAACACCGTGTACACTTCTAGAAATTGGGTGCACTCTGGATGAAGGAAAATCCATTTACTTGTGCGGCTTGGGGGTCGAAGATCGAATTTTGTCGTTGTAAATTTATTCAGAAAAGTTTTATGATTAAAGTTTACAGTTTACAGTTAATTGAATTTTTCGTTACATTCACGTTCAAGTCAAAACATACAGATACCGTGAGTACGTGAATGCATAATTTTTCCTTAAGGTTATATTTTTGTGTAGGTATTTTAATTTTGTTCTGTTGTTCTTTTCTGTGGCCTTTCTACACTTTTCGTCAAAGATTTAGTCTTTATTTCACTTTCTTGTATTATTGATTGAAATACGTTCTTGCGCGCCAAAATGTACGTATGCAGCCAGTAATACACTATTTAAATTTTCTAAAGTTTCACGAGTCGGGATGACACTCCGGGTGGTCCCGAGGAGTACGAAGTTACGATTTTTCCAGTATTGTGCGTATTAATTTATTTTTCTTTTTGCATTTTCATTTTGATTTTTCGATTTTCTAAAAGTGACGTCACAGTGTCAACTAATAAAATTTGCACGATCAACTTAGTAGGCGTTAATGTGTAATGTCAAACGTTGACATTTATCATTCAAGTACTGTGTGTTATTACTTATTATTACTTAATAATTTGTGTTATTTTTACAAGTTAGTTTAGTAATAGCTGGTCTACAAACAAAGAAGGGTTGCGAAAAATGCCTCGGGATGAACGGGAGACTGTAAAACTTTGCAAGAAGTCTGCCGCACTTGAAAGACATATCTTCGCCTGCGGATGACAAGTTTGCGAAAATGGGGTTCTCAGGTATTAAAATTATTAAATTGACGTTGTTTATTTTATTTTTGTGTCACAACTAGTTATAATCAACAATAAATAAATGAATTTGTAATTATTACGCAGTGAAAAATCGCGCTTGACGTTTGTAAATTTTTTTGCACAGATAACTGTGATTACTCGGTGCTGCAAAATTGGCGCTATGACGTCACTGGAAAATCTTTCAACGTTAATTACTTGGAAACCATTTATCATAGGAAGTTCGTGTTTTCACTAATAAAACTTCCGTTCGGATGACTAGAATTTTCTTTTTAGGTGATAAACGTTCCCCAAATTTCAGTAAATATGATTTTTAAGGGTTTATGAGTGGTGTCGGTGTGTCTCAGAGGCGTAGTGAGAGTTTAAGTTTTGAGGGGGCTAATCCAAACAGTTTTGCCAACTTTGCATAAAAAATGCCAATTAATACGATATAAATATATACCTATATACATCTACATTAATTACTTAATTGTCACAATTCTTTGGTTTTTTGACGATTGACAATATTAAGTATTTTGAACAATCAACATCCATCGCGGTATTTGATTCTTTATAAAATTATAAAATTCAGAGTCTCATTTATGCAGTTTATGTTATAAGCAACGGGCGGAATTGTGTTTCATACGCTAGATCCAGTGCTGTCACGGCGATAGTTTGATTACAAATATATTTTTCTTTTGGATTATATCAACATAATATAACATTTCAAGTTCACAAATCTGTGGTCCTGTGTTTGAAAAATTAAAAAGGACATCGAGTATTATTTTTTGAAGTAATATAGTAATATAGAAGTAGTTTTTTAACAAGCTGTAAACACTCCTAAGCGACGCACTGGCTACGACCTTGTGGACCAGATCAAAGCGTCCCCGCTACTCGCCGTAAAACACACCTTGCTTCAACTGGGGAATTGTATCCGTAAGATAAATTCCCGCCTACTGGTTATAAGTTTTTTGTTGTCGAAATAAGTCTACACATGTTAAGAAAAAAAAGGCAAAGTTTAGGCCCGCCCACCCGCCCTATCTCAATTGTGATAATTTTTTTTTATTCATCGTGAGCCAAGGGGACGGAGCTTAACTGCAAAATCCTTATTTCTCTACGGGAAATTAAAAACATAGAGCCGAAGATTAAGCCCCACCCATACCTGCCCTGATCTAAATATGTAGTAATAAAGTTTTCATTCGTTGGGAGACCTAGGGGCGGAGCCTAATTGCAAAATCCATATTTCTTTACAAAAATTTACCATTTTAAACGTGTTTTAAGTTTCTAAAATTAAAAAAACATCACAATTCAAATGGGATGGGTGGGCGGGGTTTATATTTTGCATTTTTTTCTTAATATTGTCACGTCCCAAACTCAATTTCCCAGGAACTCCAAATTCCAAACTCCCAAATAAAATTTTAAAGTAGATTTATTAGATATATAAAATGGTACTTACCCACAAACCACCATCGCATGATTCCAGAGAAAGCGAGGCGTCATGATTTCGCAATAAGGAATTATAAAATATTTGTTTTCATGACAATATACCTACATAGTATTCTTTGAACAACACGATACTTATTTTTAATTTCTTGTGAAAAAATAAGTATTTTGCAGTTAAGGTGGTGTGTCTATATTGACTTCTATTAGGGCCATAATTTTCGAAATTACTGGACTGATTACTCTCAAACTTTATAAGTGATTTGAGAATTTTAAATATGTTTTAAGTTTCTTGTTATTAATGAAGAGAAGACTGCGTATATTACGAAAAAAAAGCAAAATATAACACAATGGGGTACTAAAATAAAACCGAATTAGAACGGGGGAACTATATCTAGCAGATACTAGCCCTCTAAAAAAAAGGGTGGGTGGGCGGGGCTAATGCTTGCCAAGATAAGGCTGATGTTGCCAAATAACATACCCTGTAAGAAAATAAAGGGTGGGCGGGGCTAGTATTTGCCAAGATCTAGATAAATGTTAGAATCCGCATTTAAAATTTTGCAGTCAGTAGTTTGGACATCTTTTTCAAGATTCGTCAAGAGCCAAATGAAAATGGTAAACCTATATTTTCGTATTCTATGAGATCTGAAATACTAAAAAAACGTGAAAGATGATCACAATGAGATTTTTTCTTGCTTAGGAATCTTTTGGCAAGAAAAAATTATATTGTTATGTAATTTTGAAAAAAATGGTTCTTCATTTAATTGGTAAAAATTTGACGTCGAGTAATTAGAAAAAATCAAAATATCAACTACAAGCGGTTCTCCAAAAAATGTTTCTGATTGGTGGAAAAAGTATGGTGCTCATTTCCAGCTCCAATTTTTTTTTTTCTCGTAAATGCATTCTTGGCGAAATTCATAATTTCTGTGTCGGATCGAAAGTGATTTTTTTTTTAAATCGTAAAAATTGCCATATTTCAATTGGCGAAAATTAAAAAAACGGAGCCGAAAATGACTTGGATGTCGAAATCTACGAGAAAATGACCTTGGCTAAGTTTCGAAAATGGTTGAAAAATGATTGAAAATGCCAAAAGTGCTAAAATTAGTCATATCCAATGAAATACTAACCCCGCCCACCCACCCTCTGTTTTCATAAAGGGTAAGGCATTTGCCAAAATCAGTTTATTTTAGCAAGTACTAGACCCGCCCACCCGCCCTCTACTTTTTTGGAAGATATGTCATTTGCCACAAACAGTCTTATCTTAGCTAGTACTAGCCCCGCCCATCCCGTTCTTCTCATCCTGCCCACTAATTTTAATTCTCTTCAGCATAAGGTGATTCATTTTATCCGGACCGAATAAAATCAATCACTAGAATAGAGGCAGGGTGGGTGGGCGGGGCTAATTATGTGTTTTGTTATACTATTTGCTATAAAATTAATTTCTTATATCGTGCACTTGACCTGACTTAACCTAACGTGATCTGAACTGTCCTGAACTCACTATTGTCTCAAAGAAACACGTTAAACATTTCTGTGAACATATAAACAGCTACATATGGAGCTATTTTGACGGAAGTGTACTTGCCAAGATAAAACTGATATTGCCAAATGGCATATCCTCGAAAAAAAAGGGTGGGTGGGCGGGGCCAGTACTTGCGAATAAAAAAAATCATCACAATTGAGATAGGAAGGGTGGGCGGGCTTACATTTTGGCTTTTTATTTTAAGAAGTGTAGACTTCTTTTCACAACATGAAACTTAAAACATATTTATAATGGAAAATTTGTATAAGGACATATCGATTTTGCAGTAGACTCCGCCCCATAATTGCGAAAGCCATGTTTCCTTGCAAAAACCATTTGAACCATGTGTTAAGTTTCTTGTTTAAAAAGATGGCTGTGTATATTAAGAAAAAAAAAGGCAAAATATAACCCCCGGCCACCCACCCTATCTCAATTCTGATGATTTTTTTTATTCATCGTAAGCCGAGGGGCGGAGCTTAATTGCAAAATCCTATAACAGGTACCAAACAATAGCTAGAATAAAGGCTTAAAGTATAAAGATCTTTTAAAATGGGACACCACTGTAAAATCAGCGACAAACTACAACAATAGCTCACACTTGATCGGCCAAAATTTTATCTACATTTAAGTATTGAAATGGAATGACACAAGTGACATGGTTGACAGTACACTTAATTAATTTGAATGAAAATTTGTTATGGATTATTGTTAAAATTTGACGCTGCCATAATCTAATTTTCTTGAGGGTTTAAAAATGACATCGCGCCAATGAGTGGGTTAGCCAATAGCAGCGCAACAAACATTTCCCAGAATTGGTTACTTTCACTGCCAACTCAAACACTATTTATTGATCACGCTGTATTTTCATGACAAAAAATTTTCCACATTACTGTTTTTTCCGTACAAGTTAATTTTGTTTTAATATAGACAGTCGGATGATTTACCAACTGTTTATCTGATGTCTCATTTAAATTTTAAATAAGTCAGTTGTGTAATTTTTTACATAGATTGTAATAATAAATAGTACTTTTTATTTTCCGAGCGTAAGCGAAGGAAGTATTGTAATCGAGTCTGTCGACCGACTCCCTACTTTTACGTTTTCTGGACCTACAGTACGAAGAAATAGGTCTCCCGTTTCCGTCTGTCTATCTGGCTGTCTGTCCGTCTGTCTGCCGTCCCGGATTTTTATTAGCCAGATAATCTCAGAAAATACTGGGCCGATGTTGTCAATTTTTTTTGCAAGATAACACGCCTACATTAGTTAACAACATACGTGGACTAGTACACAAAAAGTAGTGAGACTTACATAAGAAAATAATTTCAGCAATTTTTTTAATATGATCAGATCTTTATTGGCTGATGATAACTCTACAAAGAAAGACATTCGTCAAAATACTTCTACTGCAGTACTTCGTTTAGCTATTTTATATTATAAACTGTTACAGGAAAATAATTGGTAGTTACAGATTTAATGAATCGCATTAGACGCCATACTCCGCCTCAACGAGTATAATTAGTATAACATCAGTTTATTAAGGATTTTCTAATATGATATGTGTAAAACTTTTACTATTCCATCAGTATAAATTCACAGTTCAGATTTTGTACTGTACATTTTAACTACCATAATCATGTAAATGTTCATATAAAAACACGTGGCTTTTTTTATAACAATGATATCTAAAAGTTGTGGATGTTTTTACTTAAGTTATTACATTATCCACACTTCGTAACTTCTCACTCGAATTTCGTAACAGTGCATCTACGACATTTAAACTATGTAATCTTAAACGTTGATCCATTTTGAGAGAAAGGACTTTGGAAATTATCATCAATTAAATTGTGTGTGTGTTATGTTTCTTTTACATCCAAATTATTTTCGCACAGTTTGAATTTGAACATTTATTCTCGAATTGTTATTTTGATTTTGATCGTATTTAGTACGTGCCTTGTTGTGTTTTTGATGTGGGAATTCTCTGGGTCCTTGATGTAATTGTTGTGATTTAATTGTTCATTTGAATTAATGCATAATTCAACATTCTGTCAATTCTTGTTGTTCGAAATTGTTGATAGAGTGTGGCATAATTTATATGCAGGTCTTTTGATCTGGCAGTCCGCGAGGCAAGTGGATGATGCGGCAAATTATATAATAGGCATTTGCACTTGGATGAGTATGTGTTGTAGCTCGTGAATCCCGCAACACAACGTACCGCTGAAAACTGAGGAGAGCTCGATCGTCTTGATCAGAGCCATCGATCCCGTAACAATGATTTATGATTTGAACTCCCGACACAAAGCAAATTTTGAATTTTTTGCAGGATTTGATTTTGTTCACATGTCTCCGTGTTGGCGGAATATTAGGGTTAGCACAATTAAGGCCAAATTTTTTTTAATCGCAGTAGAACGAACAACAGTAGATGTAATAGATATACAAAAAAACGGGGACAACCGAAGAAACAAGAATATATAAACGAAGTTATGTGTCGCCCGAATTTAGTATAGTAACAAAAAAAATCGGTCCAAGGTTATTTCGACAGAACTTCCCTCGCCCTTGAAGTACGGTCTATTTACAGTCCAACGAATTCCACTTCTTTGAAAAAAATATAAAAAATGTTTGTTTTCTCATAACTTTTTTACAGGGTCTCTAGAATGTATGAAAACGGTTGAATATCTTGAGAACCAGTTTTACAAATCTATTGAAATTAGGTCTAGGGGTACAAGAAGTTGTCCTCTAATTATTCGTCACACAAACACATCAACTAAATGGTAACAGCTCTGCAGGCAGCACGATTCTGCAAGTACGACTGATACATTTTCGTTGTGCAGTTTCTCGAAATCACGAAGTGTTATTGCTAAGTACGTGACAAATTATAAACAGCACATCTGGGGTTTTTTGAGGACCCAACTAGACAAAATCGTGCAAATTCCTCGATTCTTTTCGGTGAACGGATGAGCCGGCGTCAATAGCACCCCCCAGTCCTCGCGCCATGGGAACGCAAATTTCAGTTATTATTTTATCTTTATTAAATATCGCGGGGCGCATTCTCTATTTTCAAAAAAAAACGGGGGGGATTCATCCTTAATTCGATGAATGAATGATGGGATTAAGTGTCGTCTGTGAAGTGTATATCTATACTTGAGCACTTCAATATACTATTTCTGAAGAGAAATCATCCATTTAGGAACGAACTAAGAAACCATCATCGAAAAATATTCTTTAACAGTGTTTCCCAAAACTGCTATCAAATTTGTAAGATAAAATGGAGGTTCAATGTACCATTAAATGTTACCAGTTTAAAAATATTAAATATTGATAGCAATAGATGTGCTAAAGTAACACCAAGAATTTGAAAATCACGTTCTCATAAACCTATTCATATTAAATCTATTTACGGCACGTACGTTAAAGAGAATTTGTTATCTACTACCGTTTTCTAATTTTTTGATTACTTATCTGGGCATATTTTGCAACATAAAATTACTTACTTAAGGATCTTCAACTCTATATAGATACTTACCTTAAACATCTCTGATCGCATTCGGGCATCCATATTATTTATAGGTATTCATTTAGAATATATTTTCTTAATGCCTTATTATTTATAATTATTATTAATAAGTAGCAAATAAATGTGAATATTAAAACACCTGGCAGTGAGTTAACTCTATAAAACCAAAGCATATTTTCCTTCCGACGAAAAAATCATACCAGTGCGCGTTTTAGTGGTGAATAGAACGGGTGCGAAAGCAGGAAACGGTTATTACAAGTTTATGAGAACGCAAACGGTTTACGCGAAACCGGAAATTTCGAAGGGGAGCGAAAAATAAAATATACAACTTGAAAAACTCATTGAAGGGGCTTTCAAAGGGTCGAAATCTCCTCAAAATAGAACATAATAGTTGATTTACAAATGAATACACATAATCCCGCAAACGGAAAATACAGGGATTTTACACGGGAAACTCAAACACGTTCTAAATTTTAGCTCTTTATTACATCATAATGATAGCAGATAAAAAATTACAATATATTTTTGTGTCTACTCACACTGAGGCTGTTGTTTTTTTAAAGAAATATGCTTTTATAGTTTAACAAATGAATATATGGGCCAGATAAAGCGGCACTGATGCATGTTATACAAAAATAGGTGATGTGTGTACGTTTTGAGAAAATAGAAATTTCGACGGTTTTCGTTTCTTGAAACTTTATCGGATCCCATATACTACGCTTTTTAAATAATTTACAAAATTAACCATAATTAAATTATAAATAATTTCCCGGCCATCGCAGAAACGGCTCAACATTTCCGAGATGGTCACAATGGTGCCGTTCAATTGCGCTAACTGAAATGCGTTCAAAAATATTCAACAATTCAACGGCGAATGCATGATAACGCAATTTTGAAATGACTAATATCACAGTATACTTAAATAAAAAAAAGTATGTAAATATTACAAATTAAAAAAGTCTAGAACCTATATTAAAATGCCGAAAAACATGAACCTATCACAAAATCAGGAAAAATCCTGGCAGTACAAGCACAAATGAGCACATTTTCTCTCAAAACAGTCTTAAGTTCAATTTCTCTTTGAGTATTTTTCTCCCATCAAACAAGAAAAAAGGCAGTGCGTTTAATTTATGTTAAATTTAAATAGTAAAAAAATATTGATATTGCTAAAGCTACATAGTTAATATGTAATGACGAAGTTCCCGACGTCGGCTGCGTGTAGTGCTTGTATGGCAACTTCTCCCCGACGTCGTTACCCTCAAGATTGTTCGTACAACCCATCCAAAATGGTCCCGACGGTTTCTGCTGCTCGTGCTCCACCCTCATGCGGATGTCGTTGAACTTCCAGAAACCCTTCCCCTTGAAGAAATACGTCCTTCCTGTTTACAAAAAAAAAGTCAAATAGGAACACCCTACAGGGGTCTCAACAGTACCGTCTTTCCACTGGAAGACTGCGTCTATGTCCGTCCCCACTCCTTTCCACATCGACATATCTCTGGGATAGTCCAACTCGACCTTCCTCTCCTCCTCGTCGAACCTCCAGTATAAAGAACCGCTGTAGAAGTAGGTTTTGCCATTGTGACCCCACACCATGGCCCCGTCGATTTTTTTCAGCGACCGCGGAAGTCCCAGATCGGTCAAGGGTCTCGGGAAACCCCAATCTAATTTAACTCCGGTAAAGACGTAGTACTTATCGTCGATAAAAAAGACGATTTTGTTATCCGGACGTTCGTATACTGCATCCACGTGGGTGAGATTGCGAGGGAGGCCTTGCCATAACCTCGTGATTTCCGCCGGATGGCCGGGCATCAAAGCGCCGGTTTCGTCGATTCTCCAAAAGTACTGAAAGTAAAAAAAAATTGTTAACGACGCCAGTTCGTATATCTCCAAACAAGGGTTTATCCTTCAATTAAGCGGCTGAGCTGTTTCTCCTTTTTGCATATTTTTCTTATTCCTTGTACGTAAACAAAGCAATTATCGCATTCTACGTGATCACGATAGTGGTCGGTACTTCCATAAATCAAAATCCAATTGTGGTGGCAGCTACTTAGTAATAAAATCAGTAGAAAATGAATTATTAATGACCCACTACCATCATGATTTTTTTATTATTCACGTTTATTACTGCAGACAAGATCAAGTATTTTATAAGGGAAAAGAGAAATTAGTATAGAGAGTTTTGTCTGATGGGTAGTTAGTGTCAATTATTCATTGTTAGCTTTGTTGCTGCAGTTTGAGAGTTTAAGCTTGTAGAAAACAGCAGCACATAATTTGGCTCAATACGAACGTAATTAATAAAAAATTGTGTAATTGCTACACATTGCGACAGTTCAATTCTGTAATGATTAGTAACAAGTAATCTAGCAACAAAAAATAAAAACGTATTCTATTTAATTCACTTCACAGTTTACTCGAAAAAATTTAACCTTCCGAATTACAGATTTCTGCCTTTTCAAATAAGTAAGATATTAGTGTCAAATAGTTAAACTCAGACACCGCTACCTAAAATTTTGTAACACATTAAACCAAACATATCAAGCAGTACACGAAAAGAACTGTATTATGTGGTTAAATTAAGAATAAGTACATACTCGGACCAAATTTTTACTGAAGTTTGTTGAAATATTACATTCGAACAAATACAGCTTCTTCGACAAAGAAAAAATTAATTTTGCGAATTTTATTTTTTTATAACAATCTCTATAAGTTGTAGGATGGAAAGAGAAGTAAAATAAATGTCAAGTATATTTAAAGCAATTGAAAAAATAATTATTATCAGTACATGCTTAACTTCGATTGGTTATGATTATACATCGAAAGAATGCGACGATTAAGCACCTAATAAGTTGCCTGATTTGAATGAGGAGGCGACAAAAATATTAATTGACAAAAGAAAATGTAACCCATAAGTTACATGGTCTTCGGGTAGTAAATCAACATTTTTACGACCACACATTGGCATAAAATGTGATGATGGTATTTGGATTTTTTAAATCTGTATGCGTAGGGTAAAAATCAAGGCGGATTTATGAGTCACAAGTATAGGAATATGTTAATTTATAAAATTTAAATGGCGTTTATTGAAAAAAAAGGGGGCGGGACGTCATCAAATTGTTGGTGAGGATGAAAAGCAAAATTTTGGTTAGCGTTTTACCAACGCAAGAGAAAACTTTAATGATTCCATTTTTTTTAATACAAAAAACTACATGAGGTACAACGAAATTTCAGTGACAAGATGCACATTAAATTATTTCAAATTTTAGACTGATTAATTCGAAATTTCCGTCCATCACGAATTCCCGAGAACTCAAAATTTCCCAGAAATTCTCACTTATTACTAAACTACGACTTAATTTTTTATTTTTTTTTTTTTGTAAAATATCTTGAGTTATGTCTAAGTTGTGACTTATTGGATTTTAAATCTCGACTTATTTATAAAAATTTGGATCCAATTAACTCAAAATTTTGGTGTATTATTCCTAAATTTCATAAATTTTGACTACATTATCTCAAAAATTCAGCATAATTTTCAACTTATTAATTCGAAACATCCCTTCATTATCTTCTAATAATGACCCATTGACTTGAATTTTTTATTTAGTTAAACACAATTTTCACTTAGTAACTTTAAAATTCTACTGGATATTTCAAAATTTTGATAAAATCAACTTCAAATGATATTAGAATATTGTCATAATTTCGACTTTTTGATTTAAAATTTTTCATTATATCGGAAGCCTGGATTTATTTAACACAAAATTTTTAAATTTGGAATTACTTTATTTGAAATTTTGATTTAGTGTCTAAATTTTGACATAATTAATTCAAAGTTTCAAATTTCAGACTGATTAATTCGAAATTCCCATTTATCACGATTTATCGACAACTCAAAATTTTCCCAAAATTTTCACTTATCGCTAAACACTATGACTTATTTTCATTTTTTTTTTTGTAAAATATCTTTAATTACGTCTAAGTTGTGACTTGTGTATAAAAATTTGGATCCAATTATCTGAAAATTTTGGTTTATTGTTCCTAAATTTCATACTTTCACTACATTATCTCAAAAATTCTGTGTAATTTTTGAACTTAATAATTTGAAACATCCCTTCCTTATCTAGTAGTTTTGACCCATTGGCTTGAATTCTTTTTTTTTTTTAATTAAACACAATTTTGACTTGGTGACTTCAAAATTCTAGTGGATATTTCAAAATTTTGACATAATCAACTTCAAATGAGCTTAGAATATTGGTGTTTTGAATATCATCGTAATTTTTACTTATTGATTTGAAATGTTGATTTAGTGTCTCAATTTTGACATAATTAATTCAAAGTTTCAAATTTCAGACTGATTAATTCGAAATTTCCATTTATTACGAATTTTCGACAACTCAAAATTTCCCCGAAATTTTCACTTATCGCCAAACTACGACTTATTTTCATAAAGGTTTTTTTTTGTAAAATATCTTTAGTTATATCCCAGTTGTGATTTAATGGATTTTGGATTTCGTCTTGTGTATAAAAATTTGGATCCAATTAACTGGAAATTTTGGTTTAATGTTCCTACATTTCATAAATTTTGACTTCATTATCTCCAAAAATTCAGCGTAATTTTCAACTTATTAATTTGAAACATCCCCTCATTATCTCGTAATTGTGACTTATTGACTTGAATTGTTTATTTAATTAAACACAATTTTCACTTAGTGACTTCAAAACTCTAATGGGTATTTCAAAATTTTAACATAATCTACTTCAAACGACCATAGAATATTGAACGTTTGAATCATATTCAAACATTCAATATTCTCAATCATTTGAAGGCATAATTTCGACTTACTGATTTGAAATTTTTCATTATATCGGAATCTTGGGTTTATTTAACCTAAAAATTTTAAATTTGAAATTAATTTATTTGAAATTTTGATTTAGTGACTAAATTTTGACATAACTAGTTCAAAGTTTCAAATTTCAAACTGACTAACTCGCAATTTCCATTTATCACGAAGTCTCGACGTCTCATCGCTAAACTACGACTCATTTTCATAAAGTTTTTTTTTTTTTTTTGTAAAATATCTTTAATTTAGTCAAAGTTGTGACTTAATGGATTTTAAATTTCGAGTTGTTTATAAAAATTTGGATCCAATTAAGTGAAAATTTTCGTTTATTGTTCCTAAATTTCATAAATTTTGACTTCATTATCCCAAAAATTTAGCGTAATTGTCAACTTCTTAATTCGAAACATCCCTTCATTATCTTGTAATTATGACCCATTGACTTGAATTTTTTATTTAATTAAACACAATTTTCACTTAGTGACTTCAAAATTCTAGTGGATATTTCAAAATTTCGACATAATCAACTTCAAATGGTTTTAGAATATTGAATTTTTGAATATCGACTTAATTTCGACTTATTGATTTGAAGTTTTTATCTAGAGTCTAAATTTTGTCATAATTAATTCAAAGTTTCAAATTTCAGACTGACTGATTCGAAATTTCCATTTGTCACGAATTCTAAACAACTCAAACCTTCCCCGAAATTTTCACTTATCGCTAAACTACGACTTATTTTGATAAAGTTTTTTTTTTTTTGTAAAATTTATTTAGTTATTTGTGTCTGCTTAAAAAATTTATGCGATTTAAATTTCGACTCGTGTATAAAAATTTGGATCCAAGTAACTCAAAATTTTGGTTTATTATTCCTAAATTTCATAAATTTTGACTACATAATCTCAAAAATTCTGCGTAATTTTCAACATATTAATTTGAAACATTCCCTCATTATCTCGTAATTGTGACTCATTGACTTGAATGTTTTTAATGACCCATAAAATACGAAAAAATAGGTCTGTCTGTCTGTAAATGGTAAAACGCTAAGCAAAATTTGACGAGTCATCCCCACCAACAATTTGATAACATAATCTCAAAAGTATCTGCATTAAAATTATTTAAATGTTATACAATAATATACTCTTCCAACATAGTTTTTTTTTCCTTTCTTGTCTTACATTATGACTAGTATACCTACCTATATTGTTTTTATTGTATATACCATAGAAATGTAAAATTTCGCAAAATTAAATTTTATATTTTTTCACAGAAGGCAAAGAAGGCAAGTTCTGTGTCGGAATACCTTCCAACCACTGTATGTACTTGATACCCTTGTACTCATCTCATAAATTTATAAAATAAATCTTTCCTAGAAAATATATCCCGAGATTGTTCGTCAGAGACTAGGAAAGTTTTGTACTGGTAGCTGATTTATTGGATGAAATTCTTTTGTCTGTAGGAAAATTTGTTTCAATAATGCTTAAATCATCTTGAGAAAATATAGGTAGTGTTTAATTTTTTTCTTATGATTTTAATTCTTTTTTTTTGAAGCGTTTGTTTTATTACTTAGTATTGACAATGTTTATATGCTCAATTTTTTTTAAATGTACATTCAGCGCTTTTGTAGTTACAACAAATGCTCACTGAAACACCATTAACTATTTTTGGGAGAGTGTACTGATTGCATAAATGATTTGAAATGGATGTCTTAAGTTTGTTATGATCCATGGACCTTTTTTTAGTTCTTAATTTTTAAATACCATCAACAAAACAACTGGAAATTTAAGTGGCGAACTATTTTCTTCGTGGCCTAATAATTACTCATTAAAATATTGAATAAAGCCAGACTAGACTGTTTTTTTAACAGAACAAAATGATTTCTGCATATACTCAAATGAAAAGAGAAACAAGTCACATGATGTCGTTTTGAATAGTCCCATGACACCACTTTCGTTTTTTCCCTCCTTCAACCTTTTTTTACATACGAGACTCGACAACACGACCTTAATAAATATCCCACTTTAAACCTGACCATTGAACCGTCCCACGACTGTTTAACCTCACAATTAGCAAACCATCAACGAATTTCGCACTTCGACAAAAATCAAACACTTACAGCGTCCTTGAAGAAGAACACCTCCCTTCTGATGACGGCCACCGAATCATAACTAGTATCACAGGTATCTGGAGGCCTCCTCGCTGGCGTTTCCTTATCGCTGTTATGATGCCTCCTGTCGGGGTATTTATCCGGATTATAAACAGGATAACGTGTAGTCGGTGGCGCCGGCATCGGCGTCGTCCTTTCAGGATACTTCGCAGGATGTTTATACGGATACCTCCTATCGGGATAACGCGGCGGCTCACTCTTCGGATAATGATTCTTTTTCACGTCTGGATGCATGGGTTTCCTCGGGTTATAATGGGGGTTATTGTTGTGAGGGTGATAGGGATTGTGCTGAGGATGCCTTCCGTTGGGATATCTAGGGTCGTAGGGCTGATAACGCGGCCTAGTTATAAACGGTCTCCTCGTGGTTGTGGTGGTCGTGGTTGTGGTGGTAGTGGTAGTGGTGGTGTGCGGTGGACGGTAGGGCTTGATTCTGTCCCATAGTCTGGTAGTTCTGGCCCCGTAGAGGGTCTGGATGCCGAGCTTGTCATCGTCCGGGAGCTCGTAGTCGAAACCGTTTTCCATTTCTTTGTACCATGGGTACATTAGGGCGCCCTCGATGGACGAGTGGGACAGACCCAAGGAGTGACCGAACTCGTGGGCTGCCACGTTGAACAGGTTGGTCCCTGGAAGGAAAAAGAAAAGTTGCAACAAGAATATCATTTATGAGTGATGTAAATAACAGAAGTCCAGGATTTGACCCCTGTGGCACACCTCAAATAATTAACAAATTTTTCGTACCGATTTTGAAAATTAATTAATTAACCATATCTATATCCTGGCACGCGTCAATGTGACCACATAACAACGTTTTCGCCGTGTTATATAACTGATTACGAACGTCAAGTGTCAATTTCAATGTAACTCCTCCTGCGAATTACCAAAGAAAAGTTTCGTTGTGAATTATACAAATGTCGGACGCAATCATGTTGCAAGCTGACGGGACTGGAAAATTCCCAATCGTTGCTCGCTTTGACGTTGGACTAATTACTCGTAACAACGGCAGATCTGCTATTGGAGCTTTATTTATTTAAAAATTCCGAGCAATCTCTTAGGTCCATCAAAGTTTTAAATCAATTGTACAAATACATCCGAAACTTTCCTCGAACTTCGGCGGCGGCGTCATCCCCTTTAATCCACTATTATAAAAATCACCGTAAAAGTAAAATTTTCTCCCATAATGGGACATTTAAGCGCCGCCATTTTGTTTAAGCGACGAGCAATTATTGTTTTATTATTATTGCGGGTTTTATTTTTCAGAAGGAACGCATTTCTTTCGTGAAAGCTTTCGTGTTTTCACACGAACGCGGCAAAATTCTTTGTATCTCTGACAAAGCGTACTGGTTTTGAAGATTTTTCATTAATTACCTGACAGAATGTAAGCTTGTGTATAAAGCTTTTATCATTGTTGTGCTTTGATTGAAAATGAATTGTGGATTTTTTATTCAGCAACAGACGCATCAAAAGTTGGAATGTTACAATGAACAGAAAGGCGATTACGGGAATTGATTTTTTCGGTATTGTAAACACAGTGTTCCTTCTAACCCTAATTCACCTCTTTAAAATGCTGTTCCATATTTTTAGATCACGGAGGCTATTTCTCAAAGTGATTCATCTAATGCACCGATAAACTGAATTATTCCAGGATTCGACCACCTAAAAGTGGTCATGAATTATTTAGACATACATCAACAGGAAAGCTCTTGAGTAATTTTATTGATTTGGTTATAAATATGAACCAGAGCTATTCTTCAGTGATTTACTAAAAAAATACTTCTGGGAATTTAAGTCATTAAAGTTTACCAAAAAAAGGCAATCCTGCTTTTCTAACGTGCTCTCATAGTCTAAATTCATTCAAACAGGACGAATGTTACGTAAAATGTGTTTTGAGAAACATAGTTATTATTACAAAATACAGACAATATAACGTAATGAAGCCATTATATTCAGTTCCCGTACAACATTACGCAAATCGGATATGAACTGAAACTATTACGTGCTAGGGAAAAACTAATCACAAATTTGGAGTCCATACATTAAAATTAATGTAATTCATCTATTCGTTTGCGTGATGATATTTTATTGTAGACCGGTGTTATCAATAAGTTCATAGAGAGATCGGATCAAGGTTGTTTGACCTTTTTTTCGTTATTATTGAGTTTCAAACTTGAAATATTAAACGAATTTTCAAGAACACAGTCTACATAATGAATATCATTACGCTCAATTTTGGTTTCGAAATGTAGATTGCTTTAAAATGCTTAAACTCGGTTTATTGCTGTAATGATACATAAAAACCGTTCTAGGTCATTTGTTGTGATACTGTATTTTAACACATATATAAAATCGTCCGTACTCAAAAACGGACATTAAGCGAGATGTCAGATTTAAAATTCTCTTTGAAGAAGAGAACAGTATATATTTTGACGACCGCGGCATTGCCGAAAACCCTTCGCTTTTAAAGCTTCCGCTCTAAAATGTTTGCACGAATTAAAAGCTTCGTTGTACACTAATTTAGGTTTCTTATTTATTTAGGTTGAAACTTATTTATACAGAGTGATTAATTTGGAGATCGTCTGTTTTCTTGTTTTTCCGCGGAGAGAGAAATATTCCTCCTTCCACGTGTTTTTCAATTGGAACAATTATATAATTTTCCAACTTAAAAAAAAAATTAATACTTCTACACTCTTCAATATTTTACGATTGTCAAGACAAAGTTTTCCTCGACATTTTAAATCTCCATCTTTAAATATGGCGGAATGAATAAATTCTAAAAATGAACCTTACTCGAATAAAAAATGTACCAAACTACAAAGAATTGCTTCTGCTAAATTTCCTTATAACTAAGAAAATTCGGAAGGTATTTTCCCGAAATTTTTCAAAAAAAAGTTAGAAGTGAGACTCTAGGAAAAAGCTAAACTTAGCCCCGCCCACCCACCCGTTCTCTCATTTTTTTTCTTCTGAAATAAGAAATAAATCTTATAACAAATTGTACAACAAAATAGTTATGATTAGCGCTTTTTTTACAGCCTAGTTTCTGCCAGTTACTTACCACTCCCATTCTACAGAAGAACATATAACTAACCCCGCCCACCCACCCGCCTCCGTTTCGGTGATTATTTTTGTCTGCTTTGAATGAAAGGTAGATCTCATACAGAAATATAGTTAGTCGCTAAAATTAGGAGAGGGAGGGTGGGCGGGGTTAGTACTTGTTAAGATAAGACTGATTTGGCAATTGATATACCTCTAAGAAAATAGAGGGTGGGTGGGTGGGGCTAAAACTTGCAACGATAAGACTGAACAATATTAAGAGTAGTAACTGGAATGAAATGGGTGAGGGTATATGGGTGTCTATAAAACAGTCCTAGGTAAAAGTTAAACTTAGCCCCGCCCACCCACCCGTCTAAACAGAATTCTTCGTAAATTAAGACTCTTAAGCTACTTTTGCTACAATTTTTCAAATAAGCAAGGAAAATATAAAAAAAATAAAGAAATTCCAAAAAAGTGTTAAAACTGAAATGGAAAAAAATGTTAAGTTTAAGAGAATTCTTCGTCGATCAAGAATCTAATCTTTTTGCTATAATTTTTCCACTATCCGAGGAAAACTAGTAAATATTTTCAAAATCTTTTCCAAAAATATGGACATTGAAATGGACTTTGTTAGAAGAAAAAATGTACCAAGCTATAAAGAATTCTACGTACGAGCAGGTTGCGTACTTGATGACAATTTTGCTAGATTTCCGCTCATAACTAAGAAATTTGGAAAATTTGTTTCCAAAATTTTTCAAAAAAAATGTTAAAAATGGCTTTTTTCAATAGTGGAAAGTTATAGGTTCAACAAAATTTTCCGTAGATTATAAATCTGAAGCTGCTACTTTTGTTACAATTTTTCAAATACACAAGGAAAATGTAAAAAAATAAAGAAAATCCAAAAAAATGTCAAAACTGAAATGGAAAAAATATGAAGTTTAAGAGAATTCTTCGTCGATCAAGAATCTAATCGTCTTTTTGCTATAATTTTTCCACTATCCGAGGAAAACGAATAAATATTTTCAAAATCTTTTCCAAAAATATGGACACTGAAATGAACTTTATTACAACAAAAAATGTAGCAAGCTATAAAGAATTCTACGTACGAGCAGGTTGCGTATTTAATGACAATTTTGCTAGATTTCCGCTCATAACTAAGAAATTTGGAAAATTTGTATCCAAAATTTTTCAAAAAAATGTTAAAAATGGCTTTTTTCAATAGTGGAAAATTATAGGTTCCGCAAAATTTTCCGTAGATTAAAAATCTGAAGCTGCTACTTTTGTTACAATTTTTCAAATACACAGGGAAAATGTAAAAAAAATAAAGAAAATCCAAAAAGTGTTAAAACTGAAATGGAAAAAAATATTAAGTTTAAGAGAATTCTTCGTCGATCAAGAATCTAATCTTCTTTTTGCTATAATTTTTCCACTATCCGAGGAAAACGAATAAATATTTTCAAAATGTTTTCCAAAAATATGGACACTGAAATGAACTTTATTAGAACAAAACATGTACCAAGCTATAAAGAAATCTACGTACGAGCCGGTTGCGTACTTGATGACAATTTTGCTAGATTTCCGCTCATAACTAAGAAATTTGGAAAATTTGTTTCCAGAATTTTTCAAAAAAATGTTACAAATGGCTTTTTTTAATAGTGGAAAGTTATAGGTTCAACAAAATTTTCCGTAGATTAAAAATCTGAAGCTGCTACTTTTGTTACAATTTTTCAAATACACAAGGAAAATGTAAAAAAATTAAGAAAATCCAATAAAATGTTAAAACTGAAATGGAAAAAAATATTAAGTTTAAGAGAATTCTTCGCCGATCAAGAATCTAATCTTATTTTTGCTATAATTTTTCCACTATCCTAGGAAAACGAATAAATATTTTCAAAATCTTTTCCAAAAATATGGACACTGAAATGAACTTTATTAGAACAAAAAATGTACCAAGCTATAAAGAATTCTACATACAAGCAGGCTGCGTACTTGATGACAATTTTGCTAGATTTCCGCTCATAACTAAGAAATTTGGAAAATTTGTTTCCAAAATTTTTCAAAAAAATGTTACAAATGGCTTTTTTGCAATAGTGGAAAATTATAGGTTCAACAAAATTTTCCGTAGATTAAAAATCTGAAGCTGCTACTTTTGTTACAATTTTTCAAATACAGAAGGAAAATGTAAAAAAAATAAAGAAAATCCAAAAAAATGTTAAAACTGAAATGGAAAAAAATATTAAGTTTAAGAGAATTCTTCATCGATCAAGAATCTAATCTTCTTTTTGCTATAATTTTTCCACTATCCGAGGAAAACGAATAAATATTTTCAAAATCTTTTCGAAAATATGGACATTGAAATGGACTTTATTGGAACAAAAAATGTAGCAAGCTATAAAGAATTCTACGTACGAGTAGGTTGCGTACTTGATGACAATTTTGCTAGATTTCGCCTCATAACTAAGAAATTTGGAAATTGTGTTTGCAAAATTTTTCAAAAAAAATGTTAAAAATGGCTTTTTTCAATAGTGGAAAGTTATAGGTTCAACAAAATTTTCCGTAGATTAAGAATCTGAAGCTGCTGCTTTTGCTACAATTT